TGCTTATATTTGTGTAATGCTTGATACAGTGGAGTTTAGGTTTAAGTTACAGGTTGGAGGTTTTAGACGGACAGATGGAAAAAGTAGTAACTTTTCTATTTCCTAGAAACAATCTCCAAACTTAGTCAAGACTGATTTTTTTTTTTCTCAGCAGTTTCCAAAGGAAGTAGATAAATTTGATTAGAAAATAAATAAATTTGATTAGAAAACTGGAGCTATGCCAGTAAAAAGTTCAGTTTAAATCAATAACTTTCTATGTTGGCATACCAATGCAAGTTTGTTCCACTAGACTTTGCAGTATTAGAAATTCAGTATGCATATTGCCATACGTGATAAACATGATAGATGTTTTGGTAACTTTTTGCTCTACTGTGAGTTTTTTAGAAACAAAGATTTGTACATCTTCATATGTATCCAAAGATACCAATAAAAAAAAAAAACAATATGGGTAGTTTGGTTAAGTATCAGCTGTTTAGAATAGATCTATTTCCAAAATTATTTTTGTCTTTATTTTCCTTTTGTAAGTTATGATTGGTCTGTCTGTAATTTCAGTGGACAATTTAATTGAAAGAAAAGCACAACTGATAAGGAAAAATTACTTTCAAGCTGGAAAGACTACTCATTGTTCAAGAAGAAAATAGTGATCCCTAATAATTTCTACAAAAAATTAAGCTCTTTCTTGTATTTTAATTGTCAGTGTTTCTTGCATATGCTTACAATTTTTTGTGTATTTTGTTTCAATATCAGCTGTTCCATTCTATTCAGAGAACGTGTATGGAGTTGCTGAAAGCAATTGAACTGTATCAAAAAAGGATTTGTTGTAAGTATGATCAAATACAGTAGTTAAAATGATAAGGAGGTCTGCATTATGGTATCATCGAACAAGTGAAAAAGTAAAAATGAAGATGGGGAGCTACTAGTTTCATCCTATTAAAAAATAAAGATAACATTCCTTGCAGACAGCTAAAGGCAGACTTGCTTATTTGCTTGGAGATGTCCTAGTTCTTAAGTTTTATATTTGATATTATGCAGTGATAGGTAGCAATAATTATGTGAGACAGCTTGCTTTTTAAGTTGTGGTTTTTTTTTTCCATTACTTGCTTGGCTTGTTTGAATTCAGAAGTGTCTTGTCTTAGAAATCCTAACTCTGTTCTGAACTGGTTTAATTTTTTTTAAATTAGGATTGACTATGAAGAATATTGGGCTTACTACTAGTTTTATAATTAAGTAATCCATACTATTACAATGAATTTGATAATGCTGACTTGGCTGTAACAGGTGTACAGTAATTAGTGGCAGTCATTAGTGAGAGATGGGGACCTAATTTGGGAAGCTTAAAACAGCAGGTTGTATTAAATGACCTCTAAAGGTTCTCTGCAGTCAATATTGTTTGATTCTCTGCTGCTGTGATTTCTGGCCTGGCAAAGAGAATCCAGCTTTAGAGGCATCTTTCAATTTACTTTTTTTTTGTTGAATATTGTCCATATTTTCTCCAGTCTTTCCTTTTCCTTTTGCCTGTCCAAAGAGAGTCAGAGATAATGTTTCAGGATCTGGAGGTAAAATCAGAATACAGAATAGTAGTGTATTGAGTTCAAGAAGATTTCCACAATAGCAGGTGAAATCTGATGCAAAGATGTGCATACAGCATGTTCTACCAGAGTATGCTATGAGTCTGCATTAGATCTGACTGTCAACATTTGGAAAAATGACAAGAGGACTTTGAGATCTTCTTTCATTATATTATGCCATTCTCCCTGTTGATAGTGGGAAGAAATTGGTACTATAGGAGACAGCCGCTTTGGAAGACTAATAGATGAGGCCATAATGAAATGTTTTTGTAAGGATGTGAGATATGAAAATATATGGTCCCAGTTTGGAAGTAGTCAACAAGTCAGTGTAAAAACACTTTTACTTTTCTTCATCTTCTTATTTAAAAAACAACCTGTTAATTTGAAATAGAAATATTTCAGATATTTGAAATATAAATTAAACAATAGTGTTTGAATTCTGTAGAATGTAAAGTTGTAAAATAATCCTGCAAAGTAATTTGAAAATAAATGTTCTTTAAAATGAAGTACTAGATTTTTCATATGAAAAATTCATTTCTGTAGTCAAGCATGGAAAATGGAGAGCGAGAGAAAAGCAAGCGAACGAGCTTTGGGTAGTATAACTCAGAATTAGCTTCAGTGAAAGTATGCTACCAAAGATCAGCTGAGGCAGTCCGGGTGGTAAAAAAGGATTAAAGAAAACCCCAACCAAACAAACCAAAAAACCCAAGACTAAAAGATACTATAATCAAGGTAGGGCCCTTTGTGTAATCTAACCAACCTAATTCTTTTGTTCAAGAAAGAAATAGCATGTTTCTCCTGTTGTCTTTCGGCACCGATGGAATTTTGTGATTCTTGTTAAGTATATCAACAAATGTCTCAAGTGAATCAGATCTTCTGTTTAATAAATGCAGGAATTCCATGAAATTATTTCTTTTTTTCTGTGCTGCTTGGATTTAGAGTGACTTAACCTATTTGATATTAGGCCAGTTTTAAAGCTGTTAGGAACCTATTAAATAACGTGTTTGACCACTCATTTATTTTTTCGTTAGTTCTGTCTCAGGAAGAAAATGAATTGGGGAAATTTCTTCGATCACAGGGTTCTCAGGATAAAACAAGAGCAGGAAAAATGATGCAAGCCACAGGAAAGGCCCTCTGCTTTTCTTCTCAGCAAAGGTATATGTGTCAGAATTACTGTCTGATTTACAAAGTACGTGGGATAATGGTAGTTGATTCACCATTGGCATAATTCATTTTGCCATTTGAAATGTGTGAAGAACCAAATGATAGGAAAGTTATTATTGATCAAACCTGCTGTAGTATTGGCAATATTACTGGCTTGCTCTGTACAGTTTTGCCTGATCCTGTTTTTTGTCTTATGCTATGTCTGCATATCTCCAGATCCCCCACCCTGTGCCTGTTCAGCTCAGCAGTTCTAAAGCTGTATGGGTGCATCTGCACGGCCTCTCTAGCAGTGGGGTTGTAAAGGAGCTGATGTCAGGTCCCTCTCCTGCTTGGCAGCACTTCTCACTCTGCAGAGAAATGCTACAGCAGGCTCGTTGTGGAGGTGTCTGGGTCCTGGGAGGGCAGGGAAATGGGTAAGGGAATGCCTTTTTCTGGGCCATGGAGTCTCATACCTAAAGTAGATGGAGGAGAAAGGAGGATTCTGAATGCCATTTTCTGCTTTAACCTTACACCGTGAAGCCCCCCCCAGGAGAAGATCCTAGATCCCCACTGAGCTCATGTAGATTGGGTAGGACCAAATCAGTAAAAAGTAAGGAATCCAGAAGGACACACGGGTACACAAACACATGCTGTTACCCAGAGCCCTTGATGTCTCACTGACCCTGTGTTTGCTCAAAGAGTTTAAAAGTAACAGTACCTGATGACATTATGAGTAGTATTATGCTTTTTTTTAATAGTATTGGGACTATGAAAGTTTGAAATTCACCATCATTTGCAAGGGAAAATTCTATTCCATTATATTTTACAGGATTTTTGGGGGCTCTTAACTATTGTGATACTTTCCAGCTTTAGCTTAACAGTGCAGCTGTTTGGCTCAAAATAAAACATCGCATACAGAGCACTGAGAATTTCATATGTTTCTCTTAGAGTTTGGTCATTAACACATCCAGTAACAGCTATGAGTGGGATCTTTAAAACACATGTAAGGCACCTTTGAGCAAAAGCCCTGATCATTTGCTTCTTTATAAAGCTTAACTGTTTATAGATATCCCAGTGTATGACATGTCTACATAAACTGAATTTTCCTTTGAATAGCTGGGTAAGTATCTGTAGAATGAGAAAAAATATGGGGGGGAAGCCACACTAAGAAGTTCACATTTTATTATATCTCTTACTCAGTGCATTTTTAAGGCATCTTCTTAAATAAAGTCACATAAAAATAAAACCAATTGTTCGTCTGTTCTCTTGAGCCATCCTCAAGCTCATGTTGAAGTTGGGACTGCTCTAATTTATGTTGCATGCCAATAGCTAGTTCAGTAGCTGGAGATCAAGAAGACACAATTTGCTGGTTACTGGAGCTGAAGTTAGAAATTCTCTTATGCCTAGGAAGTCCCCAAGTAGCACATTAAACTAACTCTACACTGGTGTGGAACTGATTGAACCCATTCCAGTGAGGTGGCTGCTGGCAACCAAGAGGAAAGGAGAAGGAACAGGAGGAAGCAGAGCAAAGGTTGAAGTAATCCTCTCTAGTTCTGAGGTCCCCTTAGGAGCCCAAGTGATGGCATAGGGAAGACAACAGTGTCCCCTGCTGCCTTTCCAAAGTGTAGTTGCTGGAAGAAACATTTAAGAAAATCTTTCCAAAAGATAAATGTCCTTCAAAGGAATTGTTCAGATTCCTTAAAAAAAAAAAAAAAAAAAGAAAAAAAAGAAAAAAATCAGATAATTATCTACTTGACAGATGACTTCTTTATTTACGTGTACACTTCAAGATTACAAGGCTAATGGAAGTGCTTTTTCTGAGGCTTGACATGACAATCCTGATACATCTGTGGTATTTACCCAGTAATAAATTACCTCAGGTACATTTTTAGAGTTGTTAAATGCAACTTGTGAAGAGGAATGTTAATAGCATACATAAAAGCAGCTTGGCTAACTAAAATACACATGCACATTAGAAAAGGTTCCTTTTCCACTCACATGTGTACATGAAAGGTCACTACTTGAATAGGAAGGCTGCAAACACAATATTTATGCAAAATTGCCCTGTTCATGTGTACCCCCAACCAAGGTGCAGAACCATCTGAACGTACACTAGCACGTAAGTGAACTATTTTGGCTGTATATGTTTTTTTGATTGCTAGTAAAATGTCAGTAGTTGTATTAGTCCATCGGCCTTTGTGGAACAACTTCTTTAACATGTTCCTCTCCTTCCTTTCTTTCCTTCATGCCTTCCCCCAGATTAGCATTGCGTACTCCTTTGAGTAGATTATATCAAGAAGTGGAGACTTTCAGATATAGAGCCATCTCAGACACATGGCTGACAGTAAACCGAATGGAACAGTATCGGACTGAATACAGAGGAGCTCTACTTTGGATGAAAGATGTGTCTCAGGAGCTGGATCCAGATCTTTATAAGCAGATGGAAAAGTTCAGGAAGGTATGAAGTTTCCTGTAGTTTCCTAGAAGGGGATGGCTGATGAATGACAATGAAGCGTGGTTTTGATTCTTCTGAGGAAGACATAATTCAGCAGCACTAAGGATGCCATTTATCGTAACTAATCTTTTCCATGTGACAGAACTCCAGTTAATTTGATATGGAATATAGTATCCTTCACAGAGTGGGCTGTAAGGAAAGATATGGTAGTAGGAAACAACATTTTTCAGTAGTCTATTCAACTTCAGCCTAAATCTTTATAATTTAAATAATGTATATTTTTAAAGAAGGTTATCTAATTTTAAATAGTTAGCTGTGATACCTGAATGACTAATGGAAGAAGATATGTCTGCTGTCAGTCAGGCAAGGGAAAATTGATTTTTGCAACTAAAAAGTACAGAATAACAGAAACGCTGTAGTATCTGCTGCTAAATTTTTGGGTGCAGTTAAAGACCAACATTTTCAAAATTGGCTATTGTTGGATTTTGGCAAAAAGTTGCAAATTTGGAATTCATTTTTTTAAGTTCCTTGTGCAGTTCAGCGTGGCTCTTGGGCAACTGCTAAACACTACAGCTGCTAAGAATGCACTCTCCATAAATCGTCTTCATTCAGTGTCACTCAAGTTTGCTATACTCCTCCCCTCCCAAAGGGCTTCCAAAAGTCACAAGTCCTAGGTGATAGTCTGCAGATTTGCTACCAGGTGCAAGTACAGAATTTATTTGGACTGATCCTGTCCCAGTTGGTTCAGGAATGCTCATGAGAACTTCACATTTGCTAGTGTGAGGCTCTAGAGCCGATTTTGTTAAAGAGTATAACGTTCACAATTTGCTGTCTATAAATCTTGACTATTAGGAGGAGTTAGGATCCTAGGTATAACATGGTGGCTTGTGCTTTGACTAAAGGCAGTAAAAAAATTTACAGAAAATTTGTGATAATTGGAAGCAGAGGCCTAATAACAGAAATTGTATTAAAGTATACGTGCATATATGCATGTGTGTGTGTTTTAGAGACAGGTAATGTACAAAAGAGAAGCCCTGTTTATTGATGGCTTCAGCAGTCTGTGACTGAAAGTGTTTGGAGATGTAAGATACTTAATTCGGGATTTTAAAAGCTTGAATAAACCATCCTAACGGGAAAGGACTGGCATGCATCTAGGCTATGCCATTTTTTGTAAACTGAAGTGGTGACAATAGCAATTAAGGAAGGGATGGAACAAATGAAACCCTAGCTCGTCATCTAAGCTTTATTTAATGCTTCAGTACAGGATATTCCTGTGAGTCTTGTGGCACCAGACATGTGTTTTATTATGCCTTGTGGGAAATGTTTATAATGGCAAGTTCTTGCAGGTAAAATAATTGGTATGTCTTGGCCTCAGCCAATTGCATATGTATAATGTTTGATTTATTAGAAAAACACTTAAAAAATGGAATGTTAGAATTAATAAAGCAGTACTGGTAATGGTCATACAAAAATGATTTATAGCTTTCTTGCAAAACAAATGCTATGGAAGGTATAAATTATATAAATGGCAAAGTAATTAAAATAACGTATGCTTTGTACAGTGAGCTGCTGTAGTTAAAAAGTTAGATGTGAAATTTCAGCCATCTTGGGTTGCTGTGCTTCAAGGTCAGCAAAAATAAGATTTTTTTTTTTTTTTTTTAAAGCTCTCACACCCCTTAGTAGTAAAAATGTGGAAAGACTAAATATTTTGAAATATTTCTAGGTCTGAAATGTGTTATATTCTGACACAAAGAAATAATAAATGTAGATTCTAAAATTCTGTAGCATTACCTCAAATAGTTTAAAAAAAACCCCAAACTTGGAGAAGGTTTTTTGAACCTTTCTTTCTTTCCCCAACTGGCTGTCAACTGAAAACCTTTCAGATCACATTGTAATGCAGAGAACAAAAAGCTCTATATTTCGTAGCCGACACAGTAAAGAAATGCCCTTGGTATCCACTTCCCTACGTATCCCATCTGTGCAACAGGCATATCAAACTACTCTTTGAAGATTTTAACACTTGCAGAAAGTAAACTTTTTCTTTTTTCATTTTGGACAAAAAAAATAACATTACAAAAATAAAATCCTCAAGCATAATGTACCTAGATAGCTGTTGCTGAACAAGACACAACAGTTTGTTTTTAGTGCTTTACAAATGTAGTAGGCAAGCAAAACTAATGGTGGATACTGTAGTCCTAAATAATTAAAGTAGAGGAGTTATTTTTATTGTCTTTTTGTTCTAGTCTTGCTTGCAGATCTTAATTGTGCCATAGTGTGGCAGTGTAATGCTGGGTTTTTAGGGCTTATTTTGGATCTGTAACAACTATTTAAGAAGTCATGCTAGTTTTGTGTTGAGAAAGATATCATAATTACTGATGTAAGGCTTTTGGTTCTAAAATATACCATCACCGGAGAGAAGCGTTTGATCTGGAGCTGCGTATCTAGTGATAACACCAGCAAGTAGTTAATGAAGCTGATCCTGTTGGAGCACTTGAAAGAAAGTTCTCTTCAGACTTCTAATTGTAAAAATCCTAAGTATTACTTTAGTAAACATCTTTTTTATTTCAAGTAAACAGTGCTGGTTTAGTGATCTTTAATGCACCTAGTGCATCAGCAGTATTTATATCACTTGGTTATGGGACTGTTTTTCAAGTATGTAGCCTTTTATAATGTAATCCTAAATGTATCATTATGTATACAGATATGGTACTTGTTTTCGGAGACCAAAGCTAAATCAATCCAGATGGGTTTTTTGTACCTTCCCTCAGAATAGCTCAGGCTAAAAGATCAATAGTTGAGTCAGTATTTTCAGAGCTGATAAAATCTGAGTTAAAACATTGGCATTTTTGTAGTTCTCTTTCAAAACAATGAGGTACTTGAAAGAATTTTCTAATGCTGTTCTCAAGGCATCGGTCTAAATATGTGAGACCCAGCAATACCACCACTTTCAAAGTGTCCCAGAACACTGCAGAACAGCCTTTTTGTGTTGTTATTTGAAGACATCCATGTGATTGTAGCTACTTGAGTCAAACCAAAGAAACAGGTGAAGTATTTACTTTTGCCTGCAGAGACCTGTAAATGCTGTGTACCTTCATTCTTTTTTTTTTTTTCTATTAACAGTTTTTATGGACACTCCTGTGCTGTTCTAGATATAGAGGTCTTCCATCCCAAGTTCAGAGTTTGAAGTGTTGCTTGAGAGAATCTAAACAGCGCCTTGGCAATGCTGTGATATTTAAAAGAATTTGAGTGAGTTAATACCTCTTTACCAAATTCTCCACCACTGATCAGGTTTTTAAGGTTGTTAAATCCAGGCTGGTTTGTCTGTCTGGTGACTGTACGCTATAGCGTCAGCTCTGCCGTGATGTTGTAAAAATACAGACCAAATTGCCCAAGTGCTGGTAGTCCCCCAGTGTCCTTCCTCCAGCTCTGAAAAAGTTAAGCTTTTCCATGTATTTCCTGAGAAGGAACATGCCAGTGTGCAGAGTGATAGGCTATGCCACCGGGCAGCAGCCTCCCATGTGCAGCCTACAGGAACACAGAAGAGGCTCTGCTGTTCAATTTTACTTAGCTAAGCTATCTCAGATGCTTATACAGTGCAATATAGACTTTCTTATCAAACCTAGACATTACAGTGCCACCCATAACAAGTAAAAAGTGAGGGCTGAAAAAATTATCATGCTGACCTTTAGGCGAACTATAAGAAAAATTGCATATGGGACATGGCAGGATATATATCATGCTACATTGATAGAGCAAATTAATCCTTTTTATATTTGTTTTTCGCTTCCATCATTCTTCTACTTCTCTGCTTCCCCTTCATTCTGAGGCTTGAACCAAAGCTGGAGTAGCTTTGTAAATATGCACTGGCCATGCTGGGATCCCTGAGACAAGCCGCACTGCAGCGGTGTACTGAGAACTGGGTACCTGGAGGGTTGGGCTCTGTTCCTCCCTGTTGTCTAGTCCTCTCTGCTTTGCCAAAGCTGCTTTCCTAGGAGTTCTGCTTCTGTATGAACCAAATGAAGCTCAGATGGGAGAAAGAATAGATTGAAGCTGCGTAAGGGTAAGGAGTGATGCATGGGCTGGTTGCAGCAGAGCTCTGTAAACACTATGAGATTCCTCAGCTTGGAATACAGTGCAAGTCCTGCATCTATCTCTATGGTACTTGGATGTTACAGCAATAAATATCTGAGTTTGTAAAACAGTATGTATTAGATGGGCTACTGTCTGGAAAAAGAGTTGGGTTTTGATCAATATATTTCCATGGGGTCTGCCAGGGGAACAAGTAGCATGGTTTGTGCTGGGCCTCCTTGTTCTGGAAGATTAGAAAGGCCCTACCCCTCAGTGCAGAGCCCCGAACTACTTCATTGTTGTTAAAGTGGAATAGATCCTACCATGGATGAGAATTGTCAAAATATTCTCCAGAAGATCCTAAACAACTATAGGACCCTTAATGCCTAGCTGTTACTTTGCATGCAGCTGTCGAGAAACTTGCGAGCTTGCAGCTGAGCTGTTTGGGCACAGTTTATCTCTAGTTCTTCCTAGCTGTAGCACTCTCTATACTTGAAACAAACTTAATACCCTTAAATGGCATTTTAAAGATAAATCTGGCAAGAGAAAAGGAAAGGCAGTGAGAAAAAGGAAAGTTCAACAAGAAGAACTCGTAATGATATAACAATAGCTTAAACTGTTGTTTTTATAAATGTACTAATGTAGGGAGTGGCTGATCTATGCAAGTTCTCTGTTAAATATCTTCTAAGAAATAGAAGTTAAAGCTTGTGTGGACAGCTGGGGAATAATGAAGTTCTAAATAAATCCATTGGTCAGAAGGGAAATGCTGAAGTATATGTATTCGTTGTAAAGATCTCAGCAAGTATGGATAAGATACATCTGTCGCAGCCTTACAGGGAAGGCTCGGGACCTACATCTCTGTTCCCCTGCTGTCTCCTTGCCTACTAGCACTGCCTGCTATGAGTGCGTTTTGACTTGTGTGATGATGAAGGGGC